CCTCTCGGTGAAGTACGCTTGCCCTCATTCGCATTGCGCCAGACTACGCCTATCATGGATGGGCAGACAGATGAGCTGAAGAATAGGAAAAGAAAATGGATTCGAACGAGCGAATCATCGCTTCCACATAGCTGCTGTTGGTGTCGGACAGCGGTACTTGAAAATAGCCATTTGAAATTCCGATTGTCATCGCTGACAAACAGATGCGAGCCACCGCGGGTCGGCAAGCTCGTTGCGCTCGCGAATGAGAGTATTTCACCACCAAAGGATCTCTTCGCTCGACCTTCACTCCTGCGCAGCGTCTAGCGTGTCAGAGCTGCTCGACAGTTTCGAGAGAATGTTGAGCTCTGGAATGGGAGACTGGACGTGCTCGAAGCTTTCTGACTATGAGTCACGGATTCCAACGACAGAATCTGCTTCGGTGGCGCCACTACTTACAACTCGGAATTCAATAAACGCTCAGTCAGGAAAAATTCAAGAGCTGGGAGCTGTCGCTGTGCAAGTGGGATTCAGGTTATGACTCGGTGCTCGGACGGAAGGTCACGGGTGAGCTACAACGGTGAAATTAAGCGAGGGGAACCGAGGAATTCCGTCAGGGCTGGAATGCCCAAGAGGCTGTCTCAGAACGCATGTGTGATTTGGAATTCCAAGGCAGTTGACATTTCTCCACGAGAAGGATCTCGATCATTCGATTTCGATACCCGGCACAGGGCATCGAAACATTTCAAGAGACTGAATTCTTCACGAAAGCTCTATGAGCCTGACTGGCTGCCGAGTTCCCTGGCTGTATACGTTTGAGGTACCTCGGAGGAACGTCACGACACGCGTTCACCCCGCCGCGCCGTCTCGAAAGCGAGCAACACACGAATGGACAGATTGTCCGAACGAATTGCGAAGCGGCCGCCCGCCCGCCCGGCCGGTCTGCCAGACCGTCCACCGGCCAGCGGACAGGGTGTCGAGTGTAATTTACAAATCTTTCCCAAAAGTTCGTTTTGCCGCGGAACGATCGAGTGTTGTTTTTACGTGAAAATAAATATGGGTATATATGAGGGCGTGAGAGCGAATCGTTTACGACGAACGCCGCTGCAACGCGTCAGGAAGAAGCTCCCTGCCCAAGAACGGGAATTCGTCGGCTGCTGAAGCCACGCGGGCGTTCTTCGAAACAACTGCGACCCATGAAATCGCTGGAGGAATTCTAGCTCCGGTGATTTTTTCCTCGGCCACTGGCTGAAGTTACTGCGGCAGTAGTGATGCTGAGAGTTCGGGAATGAAACAGGCGAGAAGTTCAAAGCAGGAACTTCTGCTGGTGCTGCTGCTCGCAATCGAGAAGATGGAGGCGAAATTTCTGCGGCTGCTTCTCGCTAACACCAATAACAAGCGAATCTTCCTGATTTGCTCGCGAGCGTCTGGGAATGTCGGCTCTGGATGCAGTAGCCGATGCTGATGGTATCTTCACTCATGCTGCTGCCTCTACCGTTACGTTACCAACCGACGCCACCGCCACTACCGCCACAGAGGCGGCTTAGGTGGCCCGACCGTAAACTTCTAATTTCCTTCAGCCGCTTCTTCTTCGTTGTCTCGCGCGAACCGCACGAACTCTGCAAGTTTCGCTCTCGTTGTTCGAAGGAACAGCCGAGAAACTAATGGTCAATTCACAGCCGGAATCGGTGAGAATTATTGGAGCGGTGGAGCAGAAAGATGAGAAACAAACTTCTAGATCAGTTCTACTGTTCCGTCTACCGCCGACTTGAAACGGAGCCCGAGGTTCTCCACTGTGCCGAAACGATTGATACGAAAGTTCGCGGGGGAAGAAAATAGATAGATGGGCGGCTATCGGGGTTCCTTGCGTGACGGTATTTGCTACCTCCGGGTACAGGACTTTGGTTGCCTTATCGAGCGTGATTCGACGATGACTCGGAAGCTTCCCGAATTCCCACGATTTCAACTTTCAAACCATGTGTTCCGATGTCAACAGAACAGATTCCAAAGGCGCTGCCGTTGGCCCTGTCCGGAGTCACGTCAACGTTTCGGACATTTGGGGAGAACAGTCTATTTGGGAGCAAACAGAAGCGTCGAGTGATAACAAGACTCCGCAACGCCCACTGAGTGTCGACAAAAGAAGCATCGAGGCACGAATGCCCACAAGATTCGACCTCGCTCGCGAACGCCGGAAACAGTCAAGAGAATTACTTGTTTCGAGTTGTTCGCTCCGCTTCCGACATTCTCAAAGCGCTTCATTTTGAGCCCATTGACGCTGTTTTCGTTCCCTCTCTCCCCTCCCTCTGGATACCCAGCTAAGCCGGAGATACTGACACCCACACGTAGAAGTTTCGAGCGGTGTCACTAACTGGAAGAGAGCAGCAACGATTGTCCTTAATCCGGCTAATCTCTATAATTTGGTGAATTCCTCGAAAACCTACCGAGAACAATCGAAATCGAATCCTCGCTGAACGGCTGGCGAGAATTAGGAATGGTGGTCTGCGGAGGGTCGACCGAGTTTCTGCTCGGACTGACGTCCCAATCTCCCGAAGATTTGGATTTCGGAGCATTCGCGATGGATTTAAGTTTGTCAGAGGCTTCTGAATGAGTTCGCATTGCGCAAAAATAAATCTCTGATCCCGCGAACTTCTCCGTTGCGCTGAAAACTTCTCCTTCCGGGCTGCGCTGCCGAAAGCTTCCCCAACCCCGTATTTCCTCCAACTCCCATAACCATGATACTTCGTAGCATTCTGGGGGAGAGTATCATCAGCGGACGTGATCGTTCAAGATCGGATAGAATTACTGAGGGAATGATTAGCTGATCTGTTCGGATGGGGAGATGAGTCATCCTAGAGCTGCGGGGTGACTTGTCTGACTGAGTCAAGGTCCGGTCGATGCGGGCGATGTCCTTGACATGGTGGCGTTCTCGTCATCGCAACATCCGAGAGGAACCTAGACGGCTCCTGACCGAGACGGCTCTCGAAGGATCCGCAGACGCAGACATGCAATCGGCTGAAATTGAACGCTTCCTGAGGTTTCCCTGGGTGCGGACCTGGCAGAATTCACGGAGCGAAATCAGATGCCAGCATCCGCTCAATTCGAGAGACTCCGCTTTTTCCTGCGCGGAGGACGGATCTCCGAAAGGATAATATCAGGGATTCAAGACATAAAAGCTGCGGAATAAGTTCCACGTCTCAAATCCGATTTGCGCTGCTGCAGTTAGCCTGAAAATCCCGTTAGTGAACCCGCGGCCGGGTGGAGAGCGACAGGGTAGTAGGGTAGCCCCTCTCCTGCCCGGATATTTCGGAGCCTGGATGCGATCGCAATCTAGAAGAGCGTATACATGTCGTCGTTTTATTCTTGTCGCTTTCTGGGAATGTCGAAATGACGCCGAATGTAAGTGCCTCGGATGTCTGTGTCGTTTCCGCTACGTGCACCAGACACGACGAATACGATTCTCTGTTTATCAGCCTTGCTGTCAACACCGTATTTGCATACTCTGGAGTCTATCTTCGCGGTCAATAATCGACAGAAAAGGCCAAATGCTTTCGTGTCTGGAGAGGAGTCTTCCTCATCACGGCCTGTGCGCCGAGTCAAGCCGAGGCGCAAGTGCATCTGATTGGGAATTCATGATCAATTCCTGTCGTAAAATGAGGCACCTCAGCTACTCCGGTGAGAAAGCCGCACGGCTGCGTCAGAGTAGGTAATCGGTCGGATTCGAGTTCCTCGCTCTAAAGAATCTGGATTCGGTTGCGAAACTTCTGCGTCTAAATATGCGGAACAATAATTGCCTTCGGTCTCCCCGGGTACGGTGATCACGGCCAGATATCGTCTCGAAAGAATCGATTGCGGTCTGCCCGTGTGTTTGTATTAGATAAAGGTCATAAAAACCATCCGCGATGAGACCCCTGTACGAAATCAGACCGCTGAAACCACATGCTCACCGGCTCGCTCCGTCAATCTTCCGCGTACGCCAATCCACGTCGACCAGTAGTAAACTCGCCGTAAGAATCACCGGAAAAACTCGCTCCGACTTTTTTATCTAGACCCCCACGCTGTCGAGGTTAGCGCCTCCCATTCAAGAGGGCGGAATCATTTGAAACGTGCCAAGGTTGGAATTTTTCCCAATTTTTCCTCTGTCGGATCTGCGATTGGGCTCGTTACGGCGTCGAGCTTTTGGAGAATGAAGAGCTGCAGGCTTTTCTGTTTGCGGCAATTTCAGCGGAAGATCAGAGTGCCTGGCGTTCGAAGCGAGTGCAGTGGGCCAAAGCAGAGAAAAACGCCGAATACCGGATCGTCAGAACTTGCACTTTTTTCCCCAAGAGAGAAGAGAGCTAAAAAGCGAATTCTGATTCTGGACAGTCTCGAAGCGATCCTCTTGGCTCGTGTGAGCCTGTGTCGGAGGGAGCTGGCAGCTCCGAGCGAAGCGTCTGAAAAAGCGGGGGAGGTGAGGGGGCTCGACGGTACGACTTGTCTGGATTTGTTTTTTGGCCGCTTTTCACTTGTGCATTGTCCATTGGCAGTGACTGCTGGCCGGATGGTTAGTTCGGACCTCTGGCTAGCTGGATGGTCGGTTGGCAGCAAATCCGCCTCTTTCTCGGCCGAATGAATCCGTCTTTGTTTTTAGATAAATGACGCTGAGAATGCGTCTTCCTCCTACGGCAAAGACACGAACACACAGACACACTCACTCACTCACCGGCAGGTAGTCAGCCGGTCGCTCACTTAACGCCGCGCACACATGCCGCCGCCGCTGCCGACGATGATGATAACTGGAATGGAGTCTTCCTGAATTGAATAGGCCAAACCCACAGCTAGGGGGAAAGACTCGACATTCGTTATTTTTTTTTCTGCTCCCGTGTCGGTTATGCGTGTCTGTTTTCGGTGATCCGTAAAAAAGGTTCTCTGAATTTTTGCGAAGGAGATGCGTTGCCAATCGGTACCCATCCATCTCGTTCCGGTAGGAGCCCCGCACGGTCCATGCGGGAATATTGTTAACGGGTTGTTTTTTCTATCCGCAGGCGACACTCGTAGCAACATGGAAGATCTGGAGGGTCTGAATCTGAATCTCGGCTCGCTCAAGTCGCGTTTCGAAAACCAGTCGAAAGCGGAGGACGAAGTGAAGAAATCAACCTCGGTCGCCGACAGAAGCGCACTTTCCCGGTCTGCTAGCGTCTTGAAGAGACTCGAAAAGTACGTCTACCGCAGAATCACCTCTTCTCAGGATCAGCGAGATTTACACTCGACCCGATTGATATTCGATCCGAAACTCGTGATGAGAGAAAGGGCAGTCAGCAACCAATCAAGTCACCGTCGAAATTCGACGAGCTGAGGCCAATGCGTGTTTCCCATCTGATCCCGGTCTGCAAGCGGGAGCCTCTCTGGCGTTGCCTCCAATCTCAATGCCCAATCAACGTCTTGACTCTCGGCCTTCTAGTTAGACTCCTTTGAGCATCCTCCTCGTTCCTCTCTCGCTCATCTTGGTCTCTTCCGGTGCTTCTCGCTCCTTCTCGATCGCTCATCATCACGCCTCGTCCCGAACAGGCAACCGATTTTGCTCCATTTGATCCGTATCGTGAAGAGAATCGTTTTGATCAATTTCAGGTACCAATCTGTCGCGTCAGGCGAGGCTAAGGCTGACTCTTCTGACGAGGAAGGCGAGGACGAAATGGACAAAATCGATTTGTCGAAGAAAATCGAGGTCTGCAGAGAGATGAACGAACTCAAGAACAAGTGGGAGTCTGGAAAAGTCAGCAAAGAGCACAGAGAAGCGGCCAAGGTAACGAACTAGCATCGAATCAACCGTCATCCTCGCTGTTGATCTGAACCGATGAACGATCGGAACACCTCCGAAGGAGGTCTGAAATTCCCTGATCACCTTCCGGCACTTTTGCAATCGACGGTCCGTTGAGTTCCCGGGGAGACATTACGGCTCAGTAGCTACTTGATCAGTCCAAAATCGATATTTTCGATCGACCGGCGTCTCCCCTCTCCCCACCCTCTTCTGCATCGGAGAGCAGGGAGCATTGGGAAGAATCGATCCCAGAGAGTCCAGATTCCCCATTCCGGTGGACAGAGTAGCCGAGGTAGGCAGCAGTTCCAAGACGAACGAGATCTCGACGCCCGAATGTTTCAGGATGAGTTGGCATCTTTGCGCAAGAAAATCTGTGTCGGCCGCTCAGAGTCGATGAAGGTCGTCTACGAGAAAGCGGTACAGGACGCCAATCAGGCGGACTCGAAGAAACCGTCCGCACCAGACGACATAAATGTCACTCACGCATTCGCTACGAATCTCAAGAAGAAATTCGAGACGGGAGAGGTACGCGCCTCTGGTCTGCTGTGCTAACCCAGCCTCCCGCTTGACTCCCGCTTAATCCCGTGTACATGACGCATACCGTGTGCACAAAATTCCACTGTTTCTCATAAGCGTAGTAGACAGCTAGAGCTTCGCCCCGATTTTTGGACGGTTGAATGCCGCCGATCGGTTTAACCATACTCGGCTGCTGTGCGCGAACCCTTCAGCCGTAATCGTACTAGATAGCTAGCTAGCTAGCTCGATCCCTCCTCCCGTCCTGAGCCCCGCAGGAGGCTTTCATCGAAGTCCAGTGTTGTTCTCGAGAAGCTGTTGTAGGTCCAGTCACACCTTCAGTGGAAGTGTCCTTTTCCATTGATGCTGCAGGGGCCTAATGAGCGATTGCTTCCAGGTCATCAAGGAGCAGGAGGCGGAACGTTTGGAAAGCGTCAAATCTGAGAAAGAGGAGGACCTGTCGGTTTGTCAAGAGACCGGCATCGCTCACCAAGCCAAGAACATGTTTAGACAGCTCGACAAAGAAATCACATCGCGTCCTCAGACCCAAACGCCGACTCCGCTCGCCAGGACCGCCTCGGAGAGCCGTTGGAATCGGTCCCCTGGCGACTCCAACAAGAACATCGAAATTGTGAAGGCGAGCGAACCCGGACAAAAAGACCACATCGAGGTCGAAACCACGGCCCTCACTGAACGCTTCAAGGTAATGCGATATTCCATTCTGATATATAATAATTTCTCTCGAGAGCTGGCGGGAGCGTCGACACGCCTTCCTAACGGGACGTCCTGAGAATGCGGTGCGCGTAAACGATACAGAAGTCCCGAGAGGCGATCAAGAGTATATGTTTGGTGCATATGACGGTATTCTCTCGGTTCAGACCATCAGATCCCTAGTTGGGACTAGAAAACTACTCCCTGCTTGGGAACTCCGCCGGGTGAGCCATCTCTCTATCGAGAGCACAGCAGAGCCCCGATGAAATTATTGCAGCTCGCCTGACATTATTGGAGAATGATTAGGTCGGGGCTTTCATCCCTGGGAAATCCATTGTGCAGCGGCAGCAAATTCCTTTGAATGCTAGCTCAGAGTTTACACGAAGAGCGCTTCGTATCTCTCGATCCGCAGTCCGAGCGATCACTGGGATCGCCGTTTCGGTGACGGCGGAGTTACTTGATTACTCGCGTGTTACACGAGTCGATTCTTCCCAAAACACAGCACTGGCTAATGAGAATTCGAATTCCGTTGCAGTTCTTCCAGAATTATAAAGAAGAACCGACAAGCAAAAAGGATTTCAGGATGACGCCTCCTCGTGAACTGGAGAAGGAGAACTCTCCCGCTCCAGCCTGCGAGCGAGACCCCAATGTGGTCGTGAGCTCGACGGTCATCGACGACATACCTAAAGTTGACACAGCTACGAAGATGCGTCAGAAGTTCCAAGAGCTTGTGAGTAATCAATTAATCAAGCAAGTTCAAGCATCCAGTAGACCCGCCGAGTCCCGCCATAGGGCGAGTTTAGGTCGACCGGTCCGGAGCTGGGCAATTATATTCTCCCTGCTGCCGGAACTAGAAGAAACACCCAACCGCATAATTTGACCCCGCGAGGCAAACAGCGGGGTAGCGCTAGCTTCGTTTATCATTCCAATGGAGAATGTGTTTGACATGCTGGATGCCCGGAGCAAGCAACCCATGGAGCTTATCTGCCGGAATCTGGCCGATGGCACGGCTCAGTTGCATGCAAACGTTCATTATTCTTTGCGGGGAATCGCCCCTCCCCCTCTAGAGCTGGACAGGCCGAGCTCATATTGTAATTCCGAGTTATCGATCATCGCCTTCGTGCCGCAAATTGAATTCCTCGGCGGCGACGAAGTCGGCAAATATTGAATGACCTTCTCCCGGATTTCCAGATCGAATCGCCGGCCGAAAAGAGTCTCTCGTCGGTGGAAACTTCTCGGCCTAAAGCGCTGAAGAGGATTACACCTCCCAGGGAGACTTTCGAGGACAACGTCGTTGAGAACACCCCCGTCGTAGATCCCAGCGTGATCAAGTGCAGTTACAAGGTGAGTCCAAGCTCGCTCCAACTTGATGAAAAATGCAGCATCAACTTAAGCGGACGAATAGGCCCTGGAAAAGTTCGGATGTGTCCTTCTCTTTTGATGGTCAATAGACGCATTCTTGACAAGCGTTGTCTCTGTGTTGCGGCAGGTGGACGACGATATCCAGGTCGAGGCAGACAAAACCAAGTCGATGAAGGCTCGCTTCGAGAACTGGTCCGACGTGGAGCAGCGGAAAAACTCGGCGAACCTCGACGATGATTGCCTGCCCGTGGACAACATCACCCGAAACATGAGAGCAATGTTTGAACCTAACAGCAATCAGAGCTTGCAAACAAATGGCCAGACTGCCGAGCGCAACAAGCCGAAGGTCAACCGATTTGTAGTAAGTCTCAACCCCGTCCCTAGGTCGTCGGACTCGTGTTCTCTTGAATTCCGAGAAAACTTCCTCTAACGAAACTCACTCTGACCGGAGGTAACTGCATGACAGGCGAGACGCCTGAGCACTTTTAAGTTTTGGGACTCGAGTTATGATGGTCGGCACGGTGACGTCCCGCGAGCACTTCATACTACAGCTGATGGATGAAATATCCCGCTTTTCAAGGGGGCTTTTCACATGCGGAGGGACTGACTTCGTTTGAATAGACCCTGGCATAGGAAGGTGGGACCCTGGCATAGGAAATTTACCGACGGGTGGTCGAGTGGTTAGCGCGTTTGTCACTTCTCGTGCAAACGTGCGTTTCACTTCGTGAAATGCCGCAACGACGCCGCTCGCGCGGGAGGCGGTGTGGGTTCGATCCCTGCTGCCGGAAAAATATTCCTTACGGAAACGCAGGTACTCGGCCTTGATCCTCCTGGGTACATTTGCTGTATGGATCCGTCCTCGGAAGCAATGTGAATAACAGTACCCGGGACGTTAAACCTTGGCTGTGTGGATCAGCCCGAAAAAGTTTGGCATAGGAAGGTGGGAGCATGAGCGGATTGACCCAAATGAGGAATTCTTTTCGGAATGGCGTCAGGTTGGCCTCGGGACGGAAGGAGTGGGTAGACGGTACTGATCCTTGGGCGCGTTCTGCGGTCCTCTGGTTAAGGATTCGTGGATCTAATGAGAATGTTGATGATTGACCCCCAAACTAATCGGCTACTGCTCACGTGATGAAGCGAGTGTTGCGTGGGATTTCCTCGTGGGAATTCTCGAGTAAAGATATCGGAGCTCCACTAACGAAAGCCTGCGGCATCCGGACGATTGCGGCGCAGCGACCGGAAATCGAATGGGTCCGGTTTTCATTCGTTCCGGTCGCGAATAACCTAGTCGAGGGCATTAGGTGAGCCCCTTGATCCATTGATCCCGTCCGAGTCGGTCAGTCACGATCGCTATGAATGTGACTTTCTCGACGACTGATTCCACCGGCGTCTGTGATTCGAGCCCCAAACCCACGCTCGAAGAATCGGGTCGGGTTCGGAGCTTGCCTAGCGACCAAAAAGGTTTAACAGTGATTTGTTTTCAGTGATCTTCAAATACCCGTGTGCCAAACGTCGCGATCTGTCGGCCGGGACTACTCTCCAGGCGGATGCGCCGTCGCTCCTATTTTTTGAGCTTCCGGGAAATTCCCATCTATAGTATGATAGAGTAGAATGAATTCGACTGGCAACGATTGTATTTCGGACCCAAGCGGGTTCCCTAAATGCTGCGCCGACGAAGAATTTTCCATATCGAATACTGGGGATGGAAGAAGCGACCAGATTTTTTTTCCGGAACGTATAACAAACCATGAAACGATTCTACCTTACAATGAGGGAAATTTACCGCGAACTCGGGCTAGACTCCATCTTGAATCAAGCCCGTTCGTGCGAAGTCTCGATCGATTTTTGGATATCGAAGAAATCGGGGCGTTTTCCGTTCGGGTCCTCGCAAGGACTCCATTTTGCTGTTATTTGGGGATTGTGCTTATTACACAAGGTGTAAATACAGAGAGTAGATTTTCAGGAGAGCTCCTCAAGTTCTTCTCCTGCTTCAAGCGAAAATATCGGCCGACACGCGAGTTGGCGTTTATTATCCTCTTCAGTCGATGGATTCCGATGCCGTTATGACAAGGACATCGGCGTCTCAGACGGGGAGCGTCGGTCCGGCGATTAATAAGAGTGTCAAGGATTCTTTCCGAATAAAATGACTTTGAGTGTCCGCGTCTGAAAACCCGCGTCATCTGAGTGCCAGATTGCGCCTGAACTGAAACGCTCGAGACTGGGGTCGTTTGACATTGTTCGACGCGTAGTGGTATGGGACCTAACCACTAGTATGTCCATTTCCGGAATATCCCGGCGCAGACGGAGGATATTCTGCGAAAAGCTAACCCTTCCTTTCATTTCCTTCTCCTCCTCTGCTCTGGCTTGTAGAGAGCGCTTGCCCTCTTATCCTGTTTGGAGGGAAAAATCCTCAACCTAGTTCAGCCTGATCGGATCAGCCGATGTGAGAGAATCCATGGTCCGAGGATGAACTTTCTCGCAGTCCTGGACGAGTGGCTCGGTAGAGGGCTTTGCTTGGTCTTATTCTGATTGGGGTGTCTTCGCAGAGGTGAAGGAGGAGTTTTTGTGCGAAGTGGATCGATAGACGGGCTGGAGCTGTTTGGCGGCCTAATAGGAGGATGGGTTGTTTGATTAATTCATCGGTGGCTTATCTAACTGGAGAGTGCTCACTAACCCACCCTGCAATCATTTCCTTTGATACAGTTCGGCACACCCGAGAGCGAGGTCTGTGCGATGTGCCAAGGGAAAGTTTTCCCTATGGAAAGACGTGAAGCTAGCGGACTCGTAATGCACACGAAGTGCTTCAAGTGTACTCATTGTAACATCAACCTCAGGTGAGCATATTCTTTGTGCCTTTCCCCGCGGCTGTACTGCGAGGGAATCTTTTTTATTTTCAACAGACGACGATACGGAAAACGACTGCAATCCACTCCACTCTCCGAATAAGCAATGTACTCCCCCATGACACCGAACTCGTCTTCATTCCAGGCTCGATGGATATTCGCAAACTGGCGGAAAACTGTACTGCGAGGCTCACTACCAACAACTCTTCAAAGTTAAGGGAAACTACGACGAGGGGTTCGGACGCGAGAAGTGGTCGCGGACGCCCTCCCCTTCAAGCCAAGACACTCCTCCACTCAACCTCCCCCCCACCAGTTCCAATCACACCGTGATCGCGTAGACTGCCGTGGTAGACTTCCACTGGACGAGTGAATACTTCACCAGAGCAAGCTTAATTTCATCAACTCGACAACAGGCCAACGACAACCCCTAGATCCCAAAGTCTTCCTCAGCGCGACGGACGTCGTTAATAATTGTGACCTTGGACACTACTACGATCACAATGACTACCTCTCTCTTGTATCTGTGAAGACTACACTCGTAGCAACGGAGAGACGAGTCGGCTGACCACTCGCTCTTTAGCTGCACTTTCATCCTGTTGTTTGCCACACTCGACCCAATCAACCTCAACAAGCATCGAATATTAGAGAATCATGTTCTAGAACGAATCGATTCCTATCGCGGAAGTGAGAGCCGAGCTCGGCGAGGAAGGAGTTCCGCTGGGGTTTCGTAATTATCGAGGTCTCGGTATCATTGTCGTTCCTTAATTTTCACGCGAGCTATCCATAGATCGCACGATGCATGAGCAGCGCGAGAGAGCCGCCGTACCGCTAGCCGGCGGATCTGAACGCGAAACATTCTCGCTTCGATCTGGTAGAATCGATGGCCGCTCTCAATTTATTCAAAGAACTCCCCTTCGGACTCCTCTCTATGTTGATATGGTTCTCTGAGTACACAAACTTTCCGTGAGAGTTCTGCTCGGAAACATCAGTTGTACTGCGACTAGATATCCGAATCTTCCACATTTTTCAATCTTCGATTTCTCCTAGGTTGGGGCTGTTTGGATCCCCTGTTTTGTGGGGCGGGCTCAGGATTTTCGAACACGGCAGAATAACTGCACGGTTCCATGGGGTATAATTAATCCGGTCTGGGGAGGAGCCGACGCTAAGTCAAGTACTGCTTAATTTTCGGTTGAAGTATCGGAGCTCGGGGCTCCCTTTGCAATCCTGAAGAAGTTTTACATAGAGCCAAGCACTCTTTCCGCTGTTTCATTGTAGATATTGCCCAAATACGAAAGGCTGTACCATTCATGCTAAGCCGGGATCGATTTGCTTTAGAGTTAGAGGGGGTGTTCGGGAAGCCCATAGACTGGAACGCTCACCTCCGCGGGACACGGACGAGATTCCCGACAATACTTCATTATATGAATTCTGGCTCATTATCTAGAAACAATGGGCGTGACACAGAGTGACACCCGCGGCTCGACAGCGTGAAGCCGAGAATAATTCCTTCCTAGAATACGGGAATTTTATCGAGGAAGTGAGAGAAGCTAAACATGACTTGTCACTTTTCTAGTTGGCCGTGACCCGTGCATGAACAATAAACATTGAGACTGATTGTAGAGCAACGATATAAAAGAGTTTTTCTTGTTCTGGCTCTGCGGTCCAACCTCCAAACGTCACTCGCGGGTGGAACCTACCTATTTCAGAGTCTTATCTTCCCAGCTCGCTCATCTGGCCCTCAAATGAGATGAGACTTCCGATCGGAGGCTCTTCTTAATCGCCTCGAGCCTGACCGATTCGGACTTCTCGTCGCGATAGCCTCGCCTTAAAGCGGAATCTGCCTTAAAGCGGAATCTCAGTCCGAGCTGCCGAATCGATTTCTCGTGGATCGCGCAAGGAGGCACAGAACATCCTAATAATCGATTGACGCCTCAATGAACTCGCGATTAAGAGACGAACGCCGGCAATCGGATTCCCAGGAACGATTCATGAAGTCTCCGGCTGGTCGCGTCGCGATTTCAGTGACAGATCGAATTTTTTTTTCTGAATTCTGCTCGCGGGGGTCGCTCCTCAATTTTCTGAGACGGGTACAGATTCCGCGCTGCGCACCGCTGTCAGAGTCTCCAACACCAAGTCAGGCAGAGGTTCTCTGTCTCTCCAGGCTGAAGAGGTGGAGAAAGTTGAGTGCTCTCCGCTTCAAACGGAATCGATTAAGAAGAGAAAGAGCTATTGAAGGTAGGAATTTTATCGCAGGAGTTGCAATGATAGGGAGGAAGACGTGAAAACTCAGTTCCTAGACGTGAGCGCTCGGCAGATGGAGCTCGCTGCGACCAAGTCCGATTGAGCTCATCGACTCGAATAGATTCTGAGACTGCAAGTTCTCCGTCAGCTCCAAGTCCCTACGCGGTGTCATCTGCACCAGAGAGATCCCTCGCGCTTCCTCTTCCGGCACAATCCCTCTCCTAGGGAGACGCCTATCCATCAGAATGTTTTTTCTCCGACAGAGTTCTTCCCGCCATGGGATACTTCGATCCCGTGATCTTACCTGATCAATCTCGGATCAACACGACCGAGAATGTATTGCGTGTCGCAGTCAGGAAAGTGAGCTGGAATCAGTATTTCCCGATCATTCTCTCCGCTTCCATTCCTTCCACATCGCATGCTGTCGAGGAGTTCCCACGATAGACCCTAATTCGGGAGAGATCTCGAAAATTAACTTAGCATTACGATCCCATAGTTCCCGCCTTTCGTTACCCTGAGCAAGCATGGCAGCAAAGTTTCGGTCAACGGGCCGCTCAAGGTGTTCCTCGAAGCCATGGCATCTTCGGCTGGAGTCAGGTGCGTTTGTTAATCCACGACCGGTATGCCGATCGAGTAGAAAAATCAAGCACGTCCGCTCCAAACCATGGAGACCTTTACTCCACCGACACTGCAGTGTTTCAGAATATTGAAATCCTCAGAGTGACTGTATGGCCTGCCGGAGAAATGATCCATGGGGTCCGTCTCGCAAATGGAACTTTCACGGGGATAATGGGTCTGATTGAGCAGGGGGTGAGTACTAAAGGTCAGGCTCTCGGGTCGGTCGATCACCATGATCTTGCTGGAATTACCCCGAGTAAGTTGAAACCTCTTCAAAATCTTCCTGCAGCAAGTCGATATGTTCGTGGGGCCAGTGATAATGAACGACGAACGCCTCGACTTGGCGGAAGCACTCATCTTGGACGTAACGAGCTATCGACTCGTGACTTGGCAACCGTCCAAGGTGCGCAGCGGAAAGAATCGACGGCACTGACAGTCTTAGGCAGAGCCGCGAAGCTGTCCCGAATTCCTAATCATTTACCTATCCTTTCTTGATTTGCTCTCGCTCACTCAGTGGGTGGATCCCTTTCAATTCATGACGGCTTTCACGGTCGACGTATGGTTGCTGATTCTCTTCAGCATTCTCTTACTCGCGATGATTTGTTGGCTCATGGAAAGGTACGAACTGTATTCGATTCGTCCGATCGGGTCGTGATTCATTATTTATTGCGCTTCCGTTTCCGATCAAGGAGTCGACACTTTCAGGTTCCTCATGCGTTCGGATCAAGGGGCTGGAACTCCCCTGAGAGATGTCTTGTGGGGCGTGTGTTCGCGCGCCTTGTCTCTAGGTTAGCGCACGAATACCGTGCTTAAGCCGACTAGCATCGATTCCCGTTCATAACTCGGGAAGTTTCCGACACAGATCGATATCTTATATTCCGATCGATCTCCCCTAGATCCCCTCTCTCGAGATGAGGTTTGGCTCCGGCTTTGTCTTTCCGGATTCCTGCTGGTGTTCCCCCTCGTTTTGATGAATTCCTTGAGCAGCAAACTGATATCGGCCATGACCATAAAGAAGGACGAGGATTTCATCAACAAGTACGAAGATGTTCTACGATTCCCAGAGGTCCGGATATACAGTGAAGAGGGGTCGAGTCTTTCCCTGATGTTTACGGCGAGTTTCTCAAGAACAAATTGATATAATGGGGCCCTCGTAATCGATCTCCATCGGGTATCAAACTAGAGCTCTGCTACATATTGGGAGTATTCTTGCAGGATCCGAAAAGCGAGACATTCCGCAGATTGAGTCAGAGGCTGATCCAAACCCGAGGACTATTTGCGCATGGGCCCAAGCTACTCGAGATGATGTCCGAGGTGGCAGCGAGAAGAAGAGTCATTACTTGCAATCCAGAAATGTGTGAAGGCTTGATTATAAGAGCGATGAGGGAAGAGGGTAGATGTCTGAAAATCATGTCCACAACCGAGAGCTCGGGAGGTATGCTGGGAACCTTCCTCGCGTCCTACACGCTGCCGCCTTCAGTACGAGAACGCATCCGGTCCAGGTGTGCGCGATGTTCGCTTGTAGGGATCCGATGAACTCACTTTGCGGAACCAATGTCATCGAAGCAAGGAATTTCTTCACAGGTCCATGATAGTGCTCGAATCCCAAGTGTACAAGAAGATGTTGAGCTTCACGACTTTCGCCGCCGAGAGGTGTAAAACAGGGGAGAGAATCTCTAAGAAACCCCTGGCTCCCCGAGACTTGGAGGGTTGCTTCATACTCTCGAGCCTTGGTCTAACTGCATCCGTTCTCATTCTGGTCCTCGAGATCTTCCTTCGGAAATCCAGTACCCTTGTCAGCAGGACTCGGTACAGTGCCAATGCCGTACCGGGAGCAGGGCCCAGGCCCTAGGGGCACCGGAGCCCCCCCTCAACCCGAGATTCGCTCTCGATGATGGTAAGGAATGGGAGCGGTGGCCGCTCTCGAACCACAGCCCAAATCGGAATACAATAATTTGGGCCCCGAGCACCCAAATTCGTCAGCTTCTGTATGTAGAGCTTCATCCTGACGTAACCCATGAAACGCAATCGATTCCAGCAATGCTCGACACCGGTGATGGGGTCCTGGGACAGTACCGATGTCTCTAGACGGCTCTCATGATCCGTACCTACCAGAGAATCGTCTCAGCCCCCGGGTCCAGATGGTGATCGAGTCCGATTTCGAATCATTCGTCGAGATCTTGCAAGGTCCCTGCATCGCCGATTCGATGCTTCGATAGCTTCTTGACGGAATTCATTTCCTTTATCAACGCCGCGATCGCTCCGCAGTGCCATCGATCCTCTCAGTCTCACATCGGCACGTCGGAATTCCGTCATCGACGCAATTAATCCCAATGCAAAGGAAATTAATCTCGAGCCGTGAACGGAGAGTATGTCGCGGACGGCATTGATCGAACTAGTAGCGATTGATGCGAGGCTGTAGACCATTCCCTCGGATCCTTGTTCCATTCCGTGCGTGCGCACGTCGAGACTGAGCTTGGCTTCACGGAGCCGAAAGTCCACTCCCATATATTACGCAGGAAGAAGATCCTCTGATTTCTCGGTAAATATCCTGCGAGCGTAATTTTCTCCTCCTACCAAGACGCGTTCGGGACTTCGACCTCCAGAGCGACTGTTCCTCGGAATGGATTCCACCGACTATTGTGTAGTAGTATTGTGTAATATGTGTACGACCTCGATCGCCGAGTCGTAGATTCATCCGTCCTCTGTACAATGGCAATGAGAAGAGAAAAGTTCTCCGCAGGCTGGCCGAATGGGTTACTTTACGCCGAGGATCTTAGCTCATCGGCCGTCGATGAATGCAACGGTGAATGATTCGTTGCGCGTGGCCGTCATTAACGTGAGCTCCCTAGGTACCTAATGGGACCGAACTGCGAGAGGCTCGAAGACGGTCGGCTGACATGCATGAGAGCGGGAGGCATGTATTCTGTCCTCGCTAGATTCCGTCTCTTCATTTCGGAAGCGGGTTTCTTACAGTTCACCCCCTTCATTGCCTTGAACCGAGTCGGAGACGAAGTCTCGGTCGCAGGACCTATGACGCTCTTCTTCGATGCCTTCGAGGCCCGGATCGGCAGGTTGGATAGGAAGAGATAAGATATCACCCGATACATATCCGGTGATCTAATCGAATTTCGTGAATTGTGACGATCCGCGTTCCAGCATAAGCTTTCTGCTCGCCGGAGACATGGCACACGGGGTGCGTCTCGAAAATGGAAGCTTCACGGGAGTAATGGGTCTGATCCAAAAAGGAGTGAGTATAATAGGAAACATCCGCCTTGAATCGGAGGTACTGGATCGCTCATTCGATATTCCTGGATATTTTTCTAATTTCCGCTGCGTCGGTGGCAGGCAGAGCAATCTCCGCAGAGACTTCAATTTTTCTTCATCCCTGCAGCTAGTTGATGTTTTCTTGGCGCCCTCGGTAATGGTCGAGGAACGCATCGATTTGGCTGAAGCTGTCTTCCTCGGGGCGACTACGTATCGATTCCTGACATGGCAGCCTTCAAAGGTCGAAGCAACAATAGATTCATGCATGCCAATCCCGTATCTCCTTGGGGAGCGCTGAAATTGAGTTCGCTCTGTCGATATTAGAGCTCATAGGATCTGCCGAGAATTATTCCAGTAGCTTAAACCAGTTTCAACGCAGTGGGTGGACCCTTTCCAATTCATGACGGCCTTTACGATCGATGCATGGATCTCGATTCTCATCAGCATATGCTCGCTCGCAGCAGTGTGCTGGTTCATGCAGCGGTACTAAGCCAGCCCGGGAGACTGTTCTCCAAAAAAATCATATCGTCGAGTTCTCTCGAACTTGTGATGAGCTCGATGTTTTTACAGTTTCCTCTTGCCGACGGATCAGACAGCTAGAGCGTCTCCGGCTCATTTTTTGTGGGAGATCTTCTCGCGCATCTTCTTGTTGGGTATGCTTCATTTTCGTTTGTCGGACCTCCAGCTCGGATGACGCAGGGAAATATACCAGATTCGACCCATTTACATCCATCCATTTCGTGAAATCGTACCGTCATAAATTTTTAGCACCTCTGAGACGACGTTCTCCTTGGCTCCGTCTGTGCCTTTCTGCTTTCATGTTCGTGTTCCCGCTCGTTTTGATGAATTTGTTGAATAGCAAGCTCATATCAATAATGACCGTGAGGACAGATGAGGATTTCATCAACAAATACGAGGATGTTCTACGATTTCCAAACGTCCGAATCTACAGCGAGGCAGGGTCGACCCTGTCTCTGATGTTCCAGGTGAGTTTGCTGAATGATTCGGCCTTCGGGGCTCATCACGCTGAAGTCGAATAAAAGGGATAATCTTTTCCAGGACCCGAAAACCGAAACCTTCCGCAAATTGAGTTCAAGGTTGATTCAAAGGCGAGGACTCTTCTCGCATGGCCCGAAACTGATGGCTATGATGTCCGAGGTGGCGGCTAAGCAACGAGTCATCACTTGCACCCCCGAAATTTGCCAGGGCTTGATCATGAAAGCCTGGAAGGAGAGGGGTAAATGTCTCGAAGTCATGACCTCACCCGAGAGTTCGGGGCCCCTGCTCGGAACCTTCTTTGTCTCGTATATGCTATCCCGATCTTTGCGAGGAGACATCAGGTCCGCGTGAGTATTCTACGGACAACCGCGATAAATGTTACGAAGATGATGGAAGAGATCTGCGATGTATCGATCCTGATCCCGGCTGCGGCTCTCCCACGCACACTCCGATGCACCCGAAGTGAGAGCTCTCAAGACTCAAGTCATCGTCGATTACAGAAGTCTCGCCGTGCTGGGAGCTGGCTTGTATCAGGAGCAGCTGAAGTTCATAATGTTCGCCGCTGAGAAGTGTGCGCGAGAAGAAACCGTGGCTATGGAGCCTCTAGCGGTACGAGACGTCAAAGGCTCTTTCTTGCTTCTGGCGGTAGGTCTCTCGACATCCTGCCTGGCTTTCGTCGTAGAATTATTTAGAGGACCTCAAACGTCGGATGGAGTTCCGACTGGCCGTGGCGGCCGCGTTCCTGCTCAGATTATCATCGACGCGTCCCCGACTATTCTCCGGAGGGCAGTCACGCGCCACCAGGGATCGGAGTAGTCCTAATTTCGCCATTGTCCCGCTCTGGCATTTCGCTGACGAATTCGAATCTCAACAGAATTCCGGTTGTATAGGGATGGTCATTCGAAGGGACACCTCTGTGATGGAATCGCCATAACATTCCTTTGTGGCGGCGAACACAGTGTGTTCCTTTTGTCCCAAGATATCATGCTTACGGTGCAGGGGTCCATCGACTGGTTGAACGAGGAGAAGGCAAATCGCGTTAGATCGAAACTCTGATTGCTTAAAAACGGGATGCGTCGCGTTATGGGAGCGAGTGAGCTGTTCCGGAGTGTTACGTAGGTTGCTGAAGACGACATCGACTCATTGATGAGGATCTCATCGTGATTGAAGAGCTCAGTAATAATAAATTGATGAGGGAATTCAATGCATGATCGGATCCATTCATGAGCTTTGGCCTCAGAAGCAGCGGCTTTATCTAGCCAAGAGCTGGGCGTATCCTCTCAGTATCGAGGCCAGAATGCTCAGAATTCTCAGCTCTTTCCTGCGATTCGTTAGCGAATTCAGTCTCATCTTACTCCTTTGTCCTTTCCAATTGAAATCCTTCTACGAATGAAATATGAAGTAGCGGTGGGGACGTCAGGATTGTCCGCGGCCGTCAGCTCAATCAGCTGGGGAGACTCCCTGACAACCTCAGCTCCGAATGACCCCGAATACTAGGCCTAACCGTTTTTCGAGGTCTCTTGTCAATCGTTTCTTCGTTGACTCACCACGACGTGACGCTCGCCGCAGAATCTCGCTCGCCCACCATGGTTCCGTGATATTGACTTACTCAGCGGGAGCCTACCTCGAATCTATCAACAAATACGATGAGCCATGATGATTCCCCGGATAGACACCCGATCGAGATGGATATTCGTCGTTCATTCATCACGGAACGAATTTTTCACCGACGGACATTCATAGATATCGAGGATCTCCTGTCGCTCTCACGCGTCCGATCAAGTACGGTTGATAAGAAGAGGAAGGATGACTTCATCTGCGGGTCGATTCAAATCTCCGACCTTAGTGGCGACCCAAGGCTAGGATCTCTGTTTCTAGAAATCTCATGACGGACTCGTATCTGGATACTTCCGTCAGGCGAGGATGAGCCGTTATCGACCGCGGCTCCGAAAGAAGGAACGACCCCGAGGCTCTTTTCAATAAAACGGGAACCTCATTTATTTCTCGTGTTTCGATTCACATCAAAACGAACACTAATTGGGGTCAACAATGCTTACAATCATCAAGTACATTTCGGGTACACATCGAAGGTCATTTGAAAGTCATTCACTATATACAGTATGTGGTGAAGGGCAAGTCTTGCAGCCCTTCTCAACACTTGAGCCACCACAGCCCCGTGGCTGATTCTCTCCGATTGAATGCAGGGACAGGGAGAGACATCCGTGATTGAATAGAGATAGTTGATCCTGTCACTTGAGATTCTCGGTTCAAGTCTCGCAGAGGACTTCTCAATTCTCAAGTTGGAAGTGAAGCGATGCTTGGCTCAGCGAGGAGCTCGTTCTATCCCGAAAGCACCGGGACGAATTCGTCGCTTCATCCAGGGAGTCAGACGGCCTGTTTCCGGCGGAAAGACGCGAGAGGGCTTCACTTAACGCGCCCGCTTGCGGTTCGCAGGCCCGACCTGTGGCCCGTAGCCATGTCGTGAATCGACGACGCCTTGCTCTCCTGGTTCGAGTGGCGTCTCGAGGCGCCGGGTCTGCTGTCGACGAATGCACAATGAGATGCTGAATCAGGACCCGGGAGTCACAGCGAATGGATGCAGAAGCAAGTTGTCCCAACAGTTCCACCAGCGGTAATCCAACGGTAGAGTCCAACGGACGATTCGAAAGAAGAAAAGACGAGAGGCAATGCTTTAGTATCCCGTGTGCCGAGAAGCAGCTCGGTGAAAGCCGTATGTCGCGCACAGAGAACCGTGACGCTCGTACTCGCGTACACTTGTAACAACGTATGAACGTGACATGCATGAAAACATTTCTCTGAAACGACTGACAAACGAATGAGCTACCGACCGAAGCCACATACAATGGATGGGGGAAGGCATACCCGATGGAATACCGGTCACCGATTCTAGAAACGGGCGTCAAACGATCGGTGTACCGGAGCGCAGATTCAAAGCCGTCCATAGCTAGTTTAATTATTTGATGATATGATGATGATGTGATTCGGCATGGAGGAATCTTCGCAGATATCCATTCGAAACATACTCTATGAACAGCTCTGGGAGTAGAGCGGGTGGAAACGAGGCAAAGATGAGTTCCACGAACACATGGGGTACTCGAGTAAGATAAGCGTAAGTAAGATAAGCAACTTCAGCTCCTCATGGAGCCGGAGGAGGACCGGGAAACGCTGCTACCACCCTCGGAACATAGGCAATTCACGGGAGGGAGCGCTTGGCTGAGCGAAGAAGGCAGAAAGGAAAAAGCTCAAGGCAATCGAGGTGATCAGACGTGCAGAAATCTCTGCGCGAGGGGTTATTCCCAACTCCTTACGGAGTAGGGATTGTCCAGCAGCCTTTGTGATGTGAGCCGGAGCAGGGAAGCTTCTACATGGCCTACAAGGAGGTTCGAAGGGAAACAGGGAGTTACCGGAGTGGTGTGGGTTGCGAGAGTAATCGTGTCTTGTCTGCAGAATATAACCACCCGACATCATGGTATGACAGAAAACTCATGTATATGATGATACAAGATGATTGTGAGAGGAGCAACTCCTTCCGGAAATTATTGACCAAAAACGAGACGAGAACGCTACCCAGAATCGACAAGAGAGAATCAGATAGTAATGGATCAGGCTATGTTCGTTAGCAGAGCCAGGTCGCCCGGCGAAAGATCCAAGGCTCCGGAAGAGAGCCTCCTCCTATTCATTAGATGAAAGAGCGCCTGGTAACAAGAAAACCCCGTTGATCGATGACCTACTAATGAGTTCTCGCGGGGAATCGCTGCTGTTGTTAAATGCATCGAATGAGACGGGCTTGGTTCGCTCTAATGGTCGTGATGTCTTTGTATGTCAGTGGATGGCAGATCGACGAAAAGCAAGCTCGTCAGGATCCGACAAGCTCATGAGAGGACGATGATGGAAGCTTATGCCCTGCGAGAACACGGTTCACAAAGAGAGCGACCAGCTCACTCATGGGGAGATGAAGTGCGAGCTCACTCGTATTGCTAATACGAGACGAGCTAGAGATCTTGAAGCGGTGGTTTGGACGCCGCGCCGTGGGAAACTGTCGTGGGGAACTCGCAACCACTCAATCGCCGGGCTTCCCTAGTGGTTTCAATAAACACTGTACACATAGAGAATTATGAAATAACCTCAACGAAGGGTAAATTTTAATGGAACTGCTGCATGGAGCATGAGCAACGTGTAGGGAATATTTACATTCAAGCTACGGCGAGTAAAATATTCCGAAGAGTGAAGCGCATTGAGAGAGAACCATCGAATCGAGAAAGTGAGCACAGAATTCGGTCATGAAACTCTCAGATATTCGTGAGGAAATGTGTCATGTCGAGCGGGTCGAATAAGTTTGAGAAGGGAAGAAGTTCCGGAAACGCGCCGATAGATTCGAGAGGAGAAGCTTCCAGTCACGTCTGGAACATACGCGCAAGAAAGATAAAATGCGGGCCCACTAAAAGAGGAGAGAGTGAGACACGAACGAAGACCAGACGTTCAAGACAAGTCAGCGAGGGATCGGGGACAGAGAGGAGAGAATCTCCCAGCTTCGTAAATCGGGACCGGGACTTGAGCTCAACCAGAAACGATTATAAGCTTCAAAGCGTTCACGGGATGGACGCGAGGTCGGAAAGATGAGCTTCTGGACTCGGGTAGATTGCTGAGGACTGATCTTGGGGGGAATTGGAGTGAATGGGCGATCGAACGAAACTCTCTCTTTTTCGTTCGGGATGGGGAGGGGACGATTAACTTGCGAGTTCCAGGGAAATCGGATAAATTCGGGCCAATCGGAATCAGTGTGTGCGAGCAACGGGAACGTGATCGCCTACTTACACACAACGGTATTTCTGTCTGTGTCTTTGCACTTCTCTGTACGGTAGTAGTAGAAGTAGTAGTAGTAGGTAAGTACTTTGGTAAGATGGCAACTACCGGGAATGAGACTATGATGATGGGTCGACCCTGCTGGGCTGGGTGTAGCCCATCAACATCAACAGCTCTTGCATCCATACACGCTAAGAAATACAAAGAGGACGGCATGAATTTACTGATGAACAATGTACGCAGTACAGGTCAGTCACAGTGTTACATGATCCATGACTGACCGGCTGATCCAAAGGCAACCGGAGTCCGATCGCGAGGATGGCAGCGGTCAGTCAACTCGAGGAGAAAGGGGGAGAGAGAATATCAGGTGGGTAAACACAAAAGACACACACCGACGTTCTCAAGGACGCTCAAAGACAGTTGGACGAACGAACGAATGGACGGACGGACGGACGGACGGACGATGGGTACAAGGAACAGGGGAAAAACAATATTTCGTTCTTCTCGGAAAAAAATCCGACAAAACAGAGACACAAAACATCGACTACATTGACGCCGTTGTGAAAAAAGAAAAAAATACATGGAACTCGCCGCGTGGGGAGCGCCCGGACGATGATGAAAACCGCAGCCCGGAAAAGAAAACACTGCCCGACTGCAGAAAAAAAAAGGACCCACAGTCTCTCCCTCATAAGTGGATGCTCACTCTTCATTCATGTATGAACAAGGAACCGGAAGGGGGGAGAAATTCCGACTTGGAAAAATGTAATCTCTCAGCTCTCAGCTCGCTTTCTTGAGGAGAAAGGAAATTGGGAGAACGGAAATTCTCTTCCATTCTTCTTTGGAGAGAAAAGTCATGCTCTTGTTTGCCACGTCCAGCACGAGCCTCGAGCCGATAAGCTTCGTGAGGACGATGACGGTGAGAAACCGGGAGAGAGTGTGTACTTTCGAGACGAGGAACTCGACAAAAAAAATTGGTTTCCATCACAACCATATTCATCATCATCGTCAGCGGGAGCAAGTATTGAAAAACTTTCATCGTCCCCAGCGGCTTGTTTATTCTCGCGTTGACCAACCTGTATCGCAGTAGCATGGTGAGGTAGTCGGGCCAGTCGTCTGGGAGCTGCACCAACATGAAACCTAGGAGAATGAGAAGAATGCCGGCCAACTTCATGCCCTGGAATACCACCTCATACATATAGATGTCGACGATAGCAGATATCGGAACCGCGAACGCCAATCCCAGCGTAAGGAACATTTCGAAGGTACAAGCGATTCCCAGGTTCCCCAACAAATTCGCCGCTGAAAAACGGAATCGGGTCACGTATTGATACGCGTGTTCCGAACGTTCTCAAGGCTCCCGTGTCTAACCATTCGAGAGAAAGGTCTCCGCGAAGCCCTCGCACAAGCGGGGCTCAGGAATGTGAGCGAATTGCTTCTCCGAACGCTAGGCTCCTCGCTCAGCAATCAAGGACAAGTCATTGTACATATTGGAAACGCCCACGATCTCGAGGATGAGCTTGATAGCTTGGCACAAGGCCCGTAGGCTTGAAGTAGGCTCGACTTAATGAGACCATGCCGACTGCGAAGATGAGTCTCCCCGTCCCATCTGCTGTCGCTGCCGTCATCGACGGTGAGTCGACTGCGTTGATAATCGAGATAATAGAAAAAAAAGTCTATCGTGTCTTGGCCGGAGACAGACTATAAATACGCGCTAATAAAATCATTACTTACTGAGCGAAAGCGCTCCGGCTCCGAACAGCAAGCCCCAGGGCATATGCTCCCATACAAGGTTCTCGAGATTGAGAAGGTACGAGCACAACACCAAAGGCCAGAGCAAGACGATGTTCAGAAAACCGATTAGGGAGAAGAACATTGCCAATTGACCAAATGTCACATCACCTGCGGTCAGAAACGTAAGATGATTGTTAGTTTCGGGCGAACATCGTGCTGAGGTAGGATTTGGGAGAACTGATGTCAGACCGTGGAACCAACGAAGGCAGAGGGAAGAGATCGAACGTCTCTGATTAGGCTGGTTTCATTTTTTGCCCTCTCGTTCCATTCGAACTGGTTTCATACGAAGAGACATTCACGTAATCTCGGCCCTCCCCCGTCGAGAGGAACCTCACACCCAACTGCAATCCTCTCGACCGTTACGAAGCCGAAGCGTCGTTTCCCGATGAGAAAATCCTCCATGATTCAAGTCCGGACATGGGTTTTTTTCACGGCTGACCTTCCCGGGTAGATCGGGTGATGAAATAAAAACCCTCTGCCCGCTGCGGCCTTGTCAACCCGAGGTCACTGAATCTCTGGAAGACTTTATGAGAACACTCCGACCGTTCGCCGGGATCGGCTGAGAGTTTCTCCCTCATAATTTTCCCCGCTGCGGATAGCGTTTTTTTTCCCCGGGGCTGAGCTCCTTCTGACCAGTTAGCGAGTTACTCACCGATGAGCTTCTTGAAAGTGACTTTGTAGACCCCGGAGAGGCCGGCCGCTGTGGCTGAGAGCACTACTCCGACGAGAGTTGTGGTCCCCGAAACACCATCCATATAGGCAAGGAGAGCCACCCCCGTGTTTACGAGAATGATAGCCACGATCTGTAAAGGAAATATTGATTCAAAGTCGAGCCGAAGACACTCTCGTGGGATTTATGACCGGACTGAAAGCCCAGACGAGAGAGTTGCCTTGGAAAAAGAATTCGATTTTCCGCCGGCACGGCAAGGGAGCTGATGGCGAGCAGGACAGCCGGAGGAATCGAAGTTGATGGAATGCCGCGTGGTGGCCCCGAACGGAGTCGATGGCAGAGAGGGAGCTCGCAGACTGGACGCGAACCTCCGTAGGAGAGCAGGATTTTTCCCGAAAGAAGTCTGGAAATTGATCTGGCGCGCGAGTATCGCGAAAGAGTCGACTTTTCTGCTCCGTCGTGAATCGAGTGCGACACGAATGCTATCTGTCGCAGCGATTCCTTTTGATTCCGTCCGAGCGACGGTAAGATCACTTGTTCTCTCGGTCTCGCTTGACCGCAAATGATACATACTAAATGCGATTGCGCAGATCGAGGTACGATCGTGACGATCGGTTGAATCGTCGAGGAACCGGTCGCATCGGAGGTCATATCGTTTGATATGGATCTGAGTAGATGTTCGGGGAATAAATCAAGAATATACGGTCAGCTTGGCGGCGAGCGCCCCTACCAGCTCCGATCCCGAGAGGAGTTTACTGAGGTCCTTCCGAATTTCCAGTTTTCTGGGACCGGAGCTAGACCCGTGTCGTCTCATCGGAAAAACGGGTCCGACCCTTTCGGAAGTTTGCTGCTTATGCAAGACCGGAACACTTAGCTTTGGGATCGATTAGCCGACCGAGGAACTCGGGACGACCTTGAGAGACAGCGCGGACGGCTGGTGGGGTTCCTGCGAGGACCCGGTTCGGTGGGTAATACGTCACCGTCCGAACCGCTCATGCAGACGCAAGCGAAAATTTGAATCTCCGGGGAAGCATTGCTCGGTCAGCAAAGATAGGGCAGTACGGTAGACGACCAGCGAGTCTATTAGGAGTCGCGACGTGAGGTCCGAAATCGACTCCGCAATACAGCCGGCAAACGAACCCCGCTCCGTCCGGCTCGCCGGAGTCACGGCCCCGCAATGAAAGGGAAGCGTCTTATGTACTTGCTTGCATGGGTCGCAGCGTGGGTCGTCGGTCGGCAGGAAATAAGATCGCTCTGCGGCGAGCTCGTTATTTCTGCTAGATCCGAATGTTGAGCGCATTGACGAGCCCATAATTTTGGCAGAGAATGAATATATTGTTCACCGCTCGTGCATCCACTGACACCGCGCGGTGAAAGCGATCCCGACACGCGTTTGACGTGTCGCTGAGAACGATACTGACGGCGGCGCGTCGGGGTTAGAAATCCAGTTCAATAATTCAAGACCAGGGGCTCCCTACGCTCCGGGCAGCGAAAGCCGGAGTTACCCGGTCCGCGAGAAAGTCACTCGGATCTCAAGAAGTTCGCCATTCATGGTCTGCTTGCAAGGCGGGATGCATTAGCCAAGGAGCCGGTCGCTTGAGCAACGTATTCGCGAACCAAAGACGCCCACGTCGGCTCCGCGAATAATCGTTCCTACTGAATTGATCGCATTGAAACATGCACGATGTCTTCAGGGCGCTGTATTCAGAGAGTATTTGCGGAGTCGGTACACCCGCCGCGAGGGATAAATCGATGCAACTGGTTTGCTGAGTAGTCTCCACATTGTCTGGACCCGGGACAAGCGACCTCGTCCCGTTTACAGCGACCGGTTCGCTCAACAACTGCATCGAATGGAGCGGCGCTCGCTGCCGACCTACAGGCTCCAAGCCGATTCTTCTTCTTGTTGCCTCCGCTCATTGTCATCGTCAACATGTGTGGCCTCCGCCCAACAATCTAAAACGAGTTAATCTCGGTATGGGAGAGCGCAGCCGTGTTGTTTTTTCGGCGAATTCGCATGGCTTGACGCGATCTTCGGGGAAACAGTCGCATCTCATTCTTCGACCGCTAGACCGCGATGGTTATCTAATTCGTCAATCGCGAGGCAAATCTAATTCTGATCTGCGACTATAACGAAATCGTAATGAATTAAAAACTGATGGACGGATTTGTTCATCCAGAGATTGGCCAGGTGTCTCTCTTTGATACTTGGTCGCAAGCTCGTTTCGCGAACGGGATCGTTTTATGCTTGTGAGGAAAGAAATCAAATTTTTGCCAATCGAAAGGAGGCAAAAGTGTGAGCCCGTCGTTGATCATGGAGTCTGGAGTTCCCGCTCCCCGGGAGATGAGGACCGACTTTCTCCAAGACTCATGCCATCTCATGCGTGCCCTTGAATTACGGACGCAAGTAATTTGCGCAGCCAGGGATGCAGATGATGCTCGGTTCGCATCCCTCCCGCGTAATGAGAGCTCTCGCTGCGGGAAAAACTCAAATTTTCTCCCGGTGAGCTTCATAATCAAGCTAGAGTATGATTGCGACAGGATGCTCGAGTCTACCCGCCGGTAATGAGGCCGACTTTTCCATTATCAGACTCACTCAGGAGGTAAGCCCGCCGAAACTGCAGTGAACATTTCTCAGAACTGTCGCAAGTCAGTACCGGGCTGACGTTGTGCTTGAAAACGCCAGCAGTATACAGCGTGGTAGACCTTCCTGAGAGGCTCGAGGAACCTTCGCATCGGCGAGCTCACCGCGAACGACCGTGTTCGTTAGCGGAGCTGCAACAGTATCGATAATAATCAAGTCGAGCGGACGGGGAACGGTGGCACGCATGTCAACTCTATTCATCAACAGCTTGTATTTCGTTCGATCGGGAGCTGAGCCAACGGACCGGTCGCGAAAGGGGAAGCTTATCACAAGCAGGAGCCTGCGATTGAAAGCTGATTTATGCAGCGCAAGACGAGCTAATGCTTCCAACTCGCAAAACTCTTTGCCAACTAGGGCTCACAGACTGACTGCCGGTCTGACTATTCGGCTGACTCGGGGGCAAACACGCGGAACCATGCGAAGTGAGGCGTGAAGAGCCCCGAACTCTCTTGGCCACACCGCCTCGCGAAACTCGCAAAGACTATGGTCGCAGAGGAATCATCTTTTCCACTACGCCTCGAGATCTGGGCCGGTGCACGAATTACGCTCTCATCAAGGGATTTGGGGAGTGAGTCCTATCAGCGTGACCTTCAGAGGTCAAACAGAGGCTACACGAGACCTCAGGCAGCCGTGTTTATAGCGAACTATTATTCATCCATGGCCCGACAGTTATAGGCAGCTCACCATCCTCTGATAGAGGACACGGGGCGCGGATAACCGCAGCTCAGTTGTTCTGAGTTGATTGCCTCCGATAAGCAGTTTTTGTCTTCGTCGAGGCTTCGCAAACGGTCGGCTTCGATCACCGAGGGGGTTTTTCCCTCGATTCTCGCTCTGCTCGATGGTGAAGGGCGTCGAACGAGACATTCAATCAATCGGAGGCCAAACTGATTAGTCTTTCCCGTTTAAGAGAAGAATGCAATCCCTCACGACGCTCTAACCACAAGCTGAGCACAGCGGAACTCGACGGAGGAAGCGGACGAATCATCTTCGGCTGTAACAACCCGTACGGTACTCACTCTGACGCCAACAAACTGTTGGTGGAGGATGACCCATGATAGCAGATACACAAACGCTACGTGAGCCGAGTATAATGCCAAGACATCGGTTGTGTCTAGGAGCCGCAGCCCGAATACGAGAAGGAGATTCGTTACGATCCACATTACGGTGAAGAGACCACATCGCGCGAAGAACTGCGAGAACGAAAGTTGCTTTTCCTGGAACCGCTGCAGTGTGTCACTGGAAGCAAAAATAGAAATCGTTATCCGACTGGTTTCCTCGACTGCTCACCTACCGATCAGGAAGAACGGCAAAGCGCGGAAAAAGCAACTTCTACCAACGGTAAAACGTCCCGAACAGAGAGAACAACACCTTTGAACTCTCTCCACTGTTTCTTGCAAGACCGTTCGCAAGCCTGTCTTCCTGTCTGCCTGTCCGTCCGTTCGATCGCTAGGCCCTTCGAGCCCGCTTGCCACTTCGTACAAAGCCAATCGAGGTGCGAATGGGTCCACGACCCACGACAGAATGCTTCTGAAGGAGACACTCGAGGAGAAACTCGCACGGCGGCAATCGCTTGCGATTCCATTCACACGACAGCTCGAGGCGAGGAAAAGAGCTCCCCATTGCCAAGTCGTCGACGATGTATCCCAGATAAATTCTGGAGAAGGCTCGCGTTCCTCACGAGACGTCGCGTTGGTTGCCCTGCACCGCAACGTTCCATGACGCGGACATTCTCGAGCCTCCAGCGAATTCCCGCGGAAAGAAATTCTCGTCCTCGTCTACTCAACAGCGATGAGCAGCATAATGAATTGCGACTTTTCTTCATTTTTCTAAAAGGTCCAGGTTTCAATATTCGATTCACGGTCCATGCCGGCTTGCTGGCTTCCTGAGGGGGCTCAGACTCTGCTGCTATGCGCTCTCCCAGGGGTTCGAGTTCGCTTGTTCGATGGCCACGCCAAGTTGTGATTGCTCCTGTTAGGGGCAGCTCGTCGAAACGCTCGTTTGAGGAAATTCGTCTCCCGGGTAGAGGTTCTCGCCGGATGAAGTGCGTAACGGTCAATGGACGATTTGGGTGTGGTCGTGTGCAAATATGAATGAGGAAGCTCCTGTAGGTTGGATCAAGCAACGCGGTTCGCCACAGACTATCCGACTCTCTCTAATCCAACGAAACCAGCTCATGGGCCGCTCGGCTGACGTTCCGCCATCAATTACGGGGCTTCGCGAACGTTTCCACGCCGCGAACGAGATCCGTGTCCATCTCGCCAGAGTGATCTCAAACTTATTCCTCTCACTCAGCTTTTACTCCGATCCGGCTCCCTTCTCGCAGACACGTTCCGCTCCGCGTGCCAGACCCGGGCGTTGTCGAAGCTAACTCTTGCGTCGGGAGATTGTTCATTCCGCTGCCATCTAATCTCGAGCGCGAACTAGGAACGGCTTTCGGCTGGAATCTGTTTTTTCCGCGTGGAAATCTCAGCTTCGAGCACCCCGTACTCCGCTCATGCGAAACGGCTCCCACCAGACCGGAGCCGATCACCGCGTCACCACAACCTGATCAATCGTTCCAGCCGCACGATCAAGGGCTATACCCCGCTTCCCGCAATATTCATTCATATGAGCTCGCTCCTCGGAAAGGATTCTCTTTCGCCGACGCTATACCACCATCCGCCCGTCCAATAAGTATTGGCGGAACATCGATTGAATCGCAAGAAGCCAGCTCTCGAAACCTTCGGAGACCAGGTGTAATTTTCCTGCGGTCTGGAGTTTCGAGAATAGAGACGAGCGGATCCCGTTGAGATTCGGAGAGCTTCCGATGCGCCGCATTCTCGACGGAGCAGAGGAGATCTCCTCGGCTTGTTCGAGCCATCCGGAAACGTCGCTGTCTGTCGTCTGCGCGAAAAAGACGCCACGCAACATTCATCTTTTGTTCATGTGAGTGTTGGCTTGTGCAACCGCTGTTGCGGTCTACGGAGGCTGTTTCTGTGTACGGTCTTCCGTCGTCGTGAAGGCGAAGGAAAAACAGCGGCAACTCCTGTCCAGAGCAATGTTGCCAGCACGATTCATATCCATTCAATTGCCGCAACGCTCTCGCGTCCATGGAGGTTTCCGATACAATACAGACACTGTGGTGTCAGAGCTGTCTCTCCGAGAAGTTAGTTCGGAGAATCTCCATTCTCCGAAATACAAAGTACAGGGAAGTCGCGGACTTGATAAATTGCCCCGTTTCGACAGCCTCAAAGGTGTCGAAGGAAATAAGCCGCTTTCCGAACGGACCCAAAGCAAGCGAACGCTGTACGAGGAATCCTTAATCATGAACAGGCTGCGTACGACATTTGGAAGAGTTCTTCACTACCACCTCCCGACACGATCCGAGCGCCTTACCACTTCCTCCGATGTCTCGGACACTCTCTCGACTGCGGGAATATGGAGAACGCCGAGTCAAAAATCTCCATCATGCTAATTTTCGAGCCGGCAACCCATTCAGAGCAGACTCGAAAGCTCACTGAGCTCCCGGGAGATCGCTCTCTCTGAACGCGAAGTCTTTCAGTTCATACGAGGCACTCACGGCCAGTACTCACATTATAACTCGACACGTGGTGCCGCGGGACCAACACTGTCTCCCGATGAGGAACACAGGAAGAAAAAGCACATTGAACGCCGTACAGAGCCATGTTGTGAAAAATGGCGCATCGAACGGTATGAATTCTGCTTCCGTCGAGTTGTCCGCGGAGGTGTCTTCCACTAATCGTGTTCGATTTCTCGGCCGGTTGTAGGTTTGCTGGAATCCGGGCTCAAGTTAGTTCAGAGCGTGAGTGCAGTTTTCATTCAAGGTTAACTACTTCACTCCGTTGGCTGAGAAGCGTGTCTACCAGACAGAAGCCCCAAATAGATCGTTACTTCGAGACATGAATGCGAAATAAGCTGCCTAGTTGGACAGGGGACTGCTAGGAATCCTAGTCATCAAGTATCCCGGGAGAAAGTGTCCATGAGAGAATTACATGGCGACAAGTCAGAAACGTCGGGAGATCCCCTCGCAGCGGTCTCGCTGTCTCATCATCCGACCGCAGCCTACGACAGACCGAGCGCGGAGTCGCTTCGGGACAAAGTTGGTGGAGGAGTGACTCGTTCTCACTCGGACAAGATAAATGTCTTCATCATGCTCTCACATGAGGAAGAAGATCAGCAGACGACACTCACCTTTAGACAATGAGCAGCTCCTACCCAACTGAGCGCGATAAGTGCGGTCATGACGATGCCTGCGGCTACTTTGCGAGAGTTTTCTGTACAACATCTCCGCCCGACAGCGATTTCTTGGGCTAGCTGCTCACCCGCGAATGCTGCAACACAAAGGGGGGTATTAGTATCGGTGAGTCGAGTAGATTTGAGCGGATGCCGTCTGGGACAACGAAGGCAGCCCAGTTCTCCATCCATCCATCATCCCATCGAGCCCGCCCCTCACTCTTCATGATTTCATCAATCACCCTCCCATTTCCCCCACGTACACGTGCAACCACTCAATTATCCCACCCACCCGCTCACTCATCCACCCATTCTTCCATCGAGTCTTTTCCGGTCGCACTTCTACGGCCTCCGGCGCTCGGCCGTCAGCGAGCAGAAAGCTATGGCGAATAAATAAATAAATGAATAGGTAAGTAGGAGTAAATGAATAAATAATCGAAAAAACGAAAACATTCGGAAATTCCGGGGGAGCAAAATCAGATCACCCGTCAACCGCGCCGTCGCGTACATCGCATTCCGTCGTTCTGCTCCTCCCCGAAGTTGTTTCCCGAACGCCTGGCAAAAGCAGAGCATCCGGGAAGAATCTGAGGGAGACTTGAGAGTCCTGGAGAGGACCCAATCCCAACTTCCAGAGGAGGAAATAAGGGTGATTTTCTGAGTCTCGTGTCACCTCCGCCGATCCTAGTCTTCGGATGAACGACGGGCCGAGAGCCGTCCGTCTGCCCTACCCTCCGGATTCCCCCCTCGCACCCCCAGGAGTGCGCTCACATCCCGATTGAGATTCAGTGCTGTAATGGATGAGGGCTTTCGTTCATCAGGTAGAGTGTTGCTCCAAACTTCCGCCGCCAGCCGGCCAAATAAGCTGTGAGATGGCGGGCCGGGTGGCCGAGCGGGACGGCCGGTGAGCGCCAGCAAAATAACAATGCGCTCAAACGAGCGACGACCTTCCGGAAGGGAAGGAGTCTCTGTCTTTCGAAACGTCTTCCATGTTCTGTCACACCTTCCGAAAGACAGAAGACGAAGGACAGGAGAAGTTGTCGAACGTTCTCTCTAGCTGCCGATTCCACGGTTCACATCGTTCGACCAGAGGAATCCCGACAGAAGAGTTTCCCGAACTGAAGCCGAATCAATGAAACAAGAAGAGCAAATAATCGCTAACCGTAAGTTCCCGGTTGATCCTCGAGCAGCGGTTCCTGCGCACACGAAGTGTCTTCGTCTCTCCAAGGATGTGAATTTTCCCGGAAATAAGAGCTGTTGCCATACGAACGGCCACAGCAGAATCTGTCGCAGAAACTCGGCTGAACTTCTCTGCGGGTGACACTTATCCTGCGTCTCGACGTCGCCGCCGCCCCCGTCGACGTCGTTGACGCTCTTCGATTTTTGCTCGCCCGGTCATCACTTGCAGCGAGTCTCCCGTCGTCGGTGGGTCGGTCGCAGCTCAGATTCACGTGAACTGTGATAACCATTACAGCTTACCACTCGCAGCCCTGCCGGCCTAGCTGAGCCGGTTCCGGATCCTTAGCCCGAGCCCGAGTGAGCCCTCTCAGGACGGCCGCGGTGACAGCGATGGCGACGGCGACAACAACTTCTACCGAAACACACGCCCACGGCGGTCGTCGCGCAAGAACTTGGACGCTTGCCAACGGGTTCCCTGCCCAGCGGAGTTTCGGGGTCTCTTTGACTGAGCGAGGCTCTTCGGTTGACGGGGCTCAGGGGAAACTCTTGGAAAACATCCAAATTCCGGTCGGCTACGAAGTCAACCACCACCTCACACAAGAACACGACGTCCACGGCAGCTGAGTCTAGATCAGAGGGCACCGGTTGCGGCGATACTAAAACGTCCACCGTGGGGATGGGGTAGCGTATCGCACCCGCTTGTAGAGCTTCGATGCACAAAGTACTTTCAGGTGGCTCAGCGAGAGAAATTCATCGGAGTAGAGGTTCGAAGCAGCGGCAGTCTTCCTTCGTGACACCGTGAAACATCACCGCATCGTTCCCTTCCAGGGAAGGAAGGGGCGGCGACGACGACGGCGACGACGAGAAACAACTTCTCCCGTGTCGTGCATCGGGGCAGGAAAACTCGCTTTTGCACGGAATTACGCGAACGCAGCCGGACAAAATCCTGATGCAAACTTCCACACACAGCATGAGCTATCCATCCTTGAGGCGTTCGTAACTTCGCCATAGCTTACATAGATCAATACCAACTGCAGCGCCCTCATCTCTGCGCCGAGCCGTCCGCCGTCGAGACGACGCTGGGGGGCAGCAGCGATCACTCGGCTTATTTTTGGGTTTCGAGCTGTTTTTCGCAACTTCCGTTGAATTGTCGACACGGTCTCGTTCTCATGAACGTCGAATCGGTCGTTTCCTGCTCGTGTGAAGTGCTCTCCTCGTTGTCGTCATTCGGAATGATTCGAACGATCGGGAGTCTTTTTCTGCTCCGGACGAACTAAAAGCTCGCATGAAGGTTGTCACCATCCGCCCCGTCGCCAGACCTGGGGAAATTCTCCTATGCATGGAAGGAGGCCGCCTCCGATCGGGATTCGCTAAAGCAAGCCACTTAAAATGCACAGCGCTAGTCCAGCTCTCCCTGAGATAGGGTTTAGCGACTTAAGCATAATTGTTGCGATCTCCGAGGCTTCGCTCCGGCGGCTGAAGTAAATGTCGGCTCACTGTGAGAGGAGGCGCTTACCGTATCATTAGGGCAATTTCCTAAATGCCGAGATCGCTCATAAGGCGCAAGCCCGACCTCCAGGCCGGTCGGTCTCTCACTCAGACCGATCGGCCGGAAGCTACCTATAAAGGTATCAAGGTGCTGCGACTCACTGTCAGCGCACAGGTCGACTAGAAGGTCGGAATCGAAGCCTCAGATATTGGGCCAATCGAATGACGGGTTCAGGTTTCCGAGCCGCCCGACGAGCTTGAAGCCCATAAGACACAGTTATGGAAGGGCTCGTTCGCAACGGTAGCATGCGTGAGGAATTGGAAGCAGGAACGGTCGTGGCCGCCATCAAGAAATCTGCACAGCGTCAAAATCGCCTCCTAGACGACGTCGACTTCAACTTGATAGAGAGACATTCCGACTCCCCGACAATGAAGAAACAAAACGGCGTTTGACGAATAAGAAACCCTTTGAATTGGTCTCCGCAGCACGGTGCAGGACTGTCGGCGTTTTCGGCTGTCGGAATCAGTGGTCGGAGGATATACGCTCCGTAAAATCTCACACGTGACCCCCACAAAGAGATGAGCCCATTGGTGTGCCCAATAGATTGTTATGGGTGAATATGGATAGGAAAAAAAATTGTGGAACAATCACGCTCCAGACGCGATGTTTCCGAACACGGAGCTCCGATCGATTGCTTGCAGTCTCGGGCTGCTTGCCTTGAGTCGGAGGCCTGCCGTTAACCACCGCACCGCTTCAGGGCCTATGTCCGAGGAAAAATTTTTCGTCGTTTCAATTTCTGACCTCGGCTTCGCCCAGGTTCCAACTGACGCTATAGCTGCTGTATTCGCGATCGGCGTCGCTACTGACATCGCATCCACCGAAGAGCAGCGAGAGACGATAACTTCATTGCCTCCGGTGGTGCCCTTGTTCGCCTCACGCTAAACTATCTTCCCATGCGGACGGAGGCCACCTCGCCGTGCACCGTGCAAGTATGCATGCCGCGGAGCCCGCGTAGAAAAGTTACGTCGGGCGCTCTGTCAACTCCGGGTCTCTTGTGGGGATGTCACCCTCCCACCGAATTGCTCCCGAACGACCTCTGTATCATACGAAGCAAAGCGGAGCTAAACAGTGGTGTTTTAGCAACGCATGATCTAATCTCGTTGTGCAGTCTGCTGCTCGGTATTCAGGGTTGAAATACGCTCCGGTTCGAGAACATTTCGTTTTATGCACAGTAATCGCCAAGGTGACCCCGCATAAGCATGAGACTTGAATCCCTGAATACATACTAGAACGGTTCGTGGTAGGTGCGCAAAGTTTGTCCGCCTGGCTCTGTATCAACTTTTTTAGACAGTCTTGTCCTGCTCGGGACTCTGAGGAGAAGCGACAGGGAGAAACTCACACAAAAACGTGGTCGACGCATCGCGTGAGTAGGACGCTCTTTCGTCCCTGGGTTCTCTCCCTGAACGGACAGTAGAACTAAATCTAGGCTCTCTCTTCGAGGCGGGAGATAGTCGCCCACAGTCTAGATTTAGAGTCCAGAGTCTAGACAGACGGACTAATCGCATTCTATCTGAATTCGATGGGCTCGATCCGTTTGCACCCCAGCCCGCTAATTTTCTCCGAGCGTACAATGTCGAATAGATAATCCGACCGATAGAGCTCACTCGCCCCGTGCTCTGCCGTCTCTCATCTCGTCTTCGTCATTTGGAGAGGGAGGATCCGATTTTCCAACAACATTCCTTTGATTCGTCAGATTTCGTTCTTTTCGTAACGAAAATCGAAAATTCGCCTCAGACGCTCCTAGCGGCTGGTCGTCCCAGTATTCCAGTCGATATGACTCCGTCGACGTCGGTGAAACTGGAGCACGACCAACGTTGACGAGCGAAGAACAACACACTCGAGTACGAGATATTGCTCCGCTCGCTTGATTGGATTCGGGAAAAATCGTCCAGGGAACGAGACCATCAGCGCCGCCGCTGGTGCCGATGACGCCCTCGAGGAACCCTTCTGGCAGCTTCATCGCCGCCTGAATGGAACAATCAACGACGCTCGACTCTGGCAAGCGTACTCTCGCGTAGATTGGGATAGCTGGAATTGCGATTTTTCGGGAAACTGCAGAGGAAGATCGTTGAGCGTTCCCAGCCGCATAAGCTGCACCGGAGCGATCCGGATTGGGAACGATTTCGGAAAAATGGAACTACCGAAAACGTTTCCGAAACTCGGAAACGGACTGCGATGTCTCCGGCGAGATCGTCCAGTCGGAGCGCCCAAGACCGAAGTGTTTTTCGTCTATTTCTCTCGAGGAACATCGATCATCTCACACGCAGAAAGCCGTATCTGGATACGGTGGTGCCGTCATCTATCATGCTAAGCTTAAAACCTTTCCAACGCGAGAGTCGAATCCGAAGATGGAGCTCTGCCATCCACGGACGCGAAGAAGTCCCACATCGCCGCATACCTCCCCGTTCGAATCATTTTCCTGTCGCCCTGTCAGCTGACAGCTCGCTCTCAGCGTCGTCAACAAGCGAACTTAGCGAATGGAGCCTGCATAAGGGACGGGGGAGGATGAAAGAAAGCGAAGACTGAAATTGAGCGAGCCGAAGAAAGAAGCGAATCGATTCGCTCCCAGCCTGGCTCCCCTGCCATTTTTCATTCCAATCTCAGAGAATCCACCAGAATTGAAACTACCGCGGAAGACACAGTCGATTGCAGAGCGGGGTAGAAAGCTTCTCGACCGCCGACGAAAAATGAACGATACATTCCGGATTCTCGAACATGTTTTCGACAGCTCTAACTAAGAGATGATGGAAGTAGCTACAGAGAGCTTGCTCAAATTCTCTCGCTGCTCCGTCGGCGGCCGGCTTCATTCTATCGAGAACAAAGGATATCAGACGAGCCCTAGGATAAGTTTAGAAATCTGGGAGCAGCAGAGTCTGCTGCCGGTTCCAACCTCGAAATAAGAGTTCATATCCGAGAACCGCGAGAGCTGTCTGCGGGCCCGAGCTGTCTGTCCGAGATCATTAGAGACGAGATAATCTCGGCGAGGAATTATGCGAGTGAGAGCAGATGGACGAGTAAGTCCTCCGTCTCGGCGACCGGTTTCGACAAATGAAGTAGAAACTGAGCCGGACGTTCCCCGATGCCCGGAACACTAATCTGTTGGATGCACCGGAGGAATGTTCCCATTAGCCGAATGCAGAAGAATTCCAGCTCTCGGGCGTCCTCCACGCCGAAATTCCATCATCTTACAATCAACCCGTCCGGTCTTTTAGAATAGGCGCACTCGTCCAGACTCTCTTCAGTCAACTTACAGTTATTCGCCGAGTTCTGACGCGTGATGCTGTTCTGATTTGAGGCGAGCTGATTGTTGGAACCGTTCGTGTGGATCGAATGGGAGCTGCTGGTTTTGAGTTTTTGTATCGAAGGGTTCTTGGGCACGGCTTCGCCTTCCTGACCGACGCTGGTCAATCCTATCTCTCGCAAGGGCATCGTCACCAGCATCATCGCGAGGATGAAATTCGCTCGCTGGCTGCGATACCTAATCCGGCAGTTATCACAAAAAGTTGCGATCGAACATCTTAGCCACCGCAGCTGTTTCCATTGGCCACCGCCACGAAGGGGCTACACCGGGTCGGTGAATGTCACGGGGAGCGTTTGCCGCCACTGGGAAAATGTCGGCGGATGGGAATGGAGAAGCACATTGAGAGGGAGCAGCCGCCGGATTCGAGAACAACACCATCAGCTGGAAACACTAGAGGGCGTTGCGACGTGATTTACCCTCCTCCATATGACGTCCTTCCTCAAAACGGTGAGGACCCTCGTCAACACGCATCCTTACGACGACGACGTCGGCGGCATCGGCGATCATGGACGAGAGTCTTTCGGGAGCATCGATTGCAGCCAATGATTTTGTAACCATAGAAACAAAAAAATATATCGCTCGTGTATTGGAAATATCGCTCGTTTATCGCGAATTACACTACCGCTGACGACGGGCCCCCCTGAATCAGAAACCCATCCAAGGTCGGACTCCCGGAATTCGCGGTTGCTCTTGATGATGCCCCTGATTGTGGGAGGCTGCAAGAAGTCCGAGGAATTTCTCTGCACCGAGCGCGGCGCAAGTTCTCTAGGCGACCAACGAGTGTCCGGCCCGTGGACCGTCGCGAATGCCGCGAGATCGGCTCGGATCTCGGCACGAGCCATTTCGACGGTCTCAGCATTGCTTATTCCTCTGGGGTCAAGAAGCGATGCGCGACGATCGAACGCAAGTTGCATAAAATCGCGTGTTTAAAAGTATGTTGATGCGTTTCTTATTCGTATAAGCCATGAAGCTCATCCGACCGTCGGCGTCGTATGGACGGCTGTAGAGCATGTTCCTCCGAATCGTCGCTCGGGCAATCGAAGCCGACTACGGTACGACAACAACCTATAGATCCGAACCATACACCCGACACGATTAACGAGTTGTAAGTCATGCTCATGTCGTCATCGAGAAGCTCGGCGCTCAGAATCATGGCCGAAGCGCGAGTGGAACTCGCAGGGAGCGATGAGAGTACCGAAAAGGGCACCAGCTCTGCCTCGTGGCTCCACCTAGTTCTACATGAGGCCAAGTTCGCGCCGGGGCGCGACTCCCGTTTTCCCGATGCTCGACGGAGGGCGCTACCTGGCTCAGGGTCTCCCGGGGAATAGGTCCTTGAGAAATCAACAAGTGTTGGTTTTTTCTAAGCCTGGGAGAATAGGTTACCTAATTCCCGGGGAATAACGCCAGTCGAACACATCTCCCAGCTGCGCATGGTCTCCCGCTAATTGACCGGCATGAATTTCCGACACAAAATCCGGCGCAACTCGAGACCGTCTTGAGACGGATCTTCACAAACCTATACACGACCGAGACCTGCGCGGACGGGCGCTAAATAGGACTCCAGCTCATCCCGATACGGTTGGTTGGGCACGATCCGCCGATTTCGCGTTATGGAAGGACTAAGAATAGCTAGAAAGAGTCAATACGATCCGCTGCCCATCGGGAGAATGGTGGCATCTCGCTCCAGGCCTCAAGCGGCAGCGTAGATTAGCTTCGCTGCTCGTTCTGCTCGCGCCGCCGCGGAGAGCGGCTGCCGCTGGTATTCCTGTAGCAGGGAGGAGGGGGGCAAACAGGCCGCCAGCGTCCCTTGTCCTAACCAGGTCACCCCGTCGAGTCACGAAGGCATCAGTAAAGGCGGCAGCAGAAGCCGTAGACAGTGAAGACTAGCGGCGGCGTTCTTTCGCGGATGCCCACCCGCCTGCCCGCCAGCTTGCTAGGGCTCTCCGACTCTGCGTACTTTCGTTCGTCCGCCCGCCCGGCTGTGTCACACCCTACTCGTAGCAAACCACCGGCAAGCCGGTCGTCCAAACAAGCCGAACAATGAAAAGCCTCCATCAGCAGCGGAAGCAGGATCGTCGGTGTGACCGCCACCATCGCTGGAAAGAGCGTGTTTCCAGAATCTGGGCTTGCGGCGACGATCTCCTCTTCGGGTACCGAGAGAAATCATTGAGCGTTCAATTTTTTTTAGCGGATCTCCTCCTCGCCATTCGTGGGTATTGGCGGCACCGGCAGCCGGGTGGCGTGATGACGATGAATATGCGCCATAATAGTCCATCTCATCACGTAGTTCGAATCAAAAGGGTGGGACCTCTTGACTCGATGCGCTGTTGCCTGACCGCATTCTCGAGCAAAGTCAGCAGCGATGTCAGCTCTAAATAATGGCTCTTGCCTTCTGGGCCAATCGATGGCTCTTGCGCCGCAACGGCCCTGGCGGCGGTCATCGATACCGAAGTAACAACGACGATGTCATTGACCCCACGAGCTAGATGTCCTCCGAAATGATGATTACGAAATATTTCTAGACCCTTGCGGTGGGACTTGGCGGAACGGGACGCTCGTCGGCGGCGGCGGAACAGGTGGCGTTCGCCCACAATGAACCCGCCCGCAATCGGGAATTGACGACACGAGATTTTTCCCGGGAGTAGGTACTAGCTCGACTCGATAGAATCATGTTGGGAAATCGACGGGAGCGGTGTCTTGAAAGCTCACTCAATTCTGTCCTACACTCGCGGGCTCGCATCGCAGACGCCGCCGGCTGCTACTACGGGGATTCCTGCGGAGCCGAGAACTCGGGAATAATCCCCTATCTTCGAGAGCGAGGGATTCTTCTCGTTGTAGGAATGAACTTACCGTTGAGGTCTATGCTGCTCCCGGCAGCGGAAGCCTCGAATCCAATCGAGTTCTCTCTCGAGCGAACATTGCAGAGAGATCCCGCCGACTCCTTAGCCCCCGTCGCTGCACCTCCGGATCCAACAGGGCCTCCATTGCTTTTCACAACCGCCGAATCGGCCGAGTCGACGCGTAATGAGTCGCGATGTCTGGAAGGAGGCACGAGAAACAAATATCATTCCTGTCCAGGACGGATCACACACTATCGTTCACATTATTCCTCTCTTAGACCTCGCATCGTCGAATTTCTGTTCGTCGCAGCTGATCTGCCGATCGCTCAGGAATCGCTCTTCGAACTGAGTTTCTTGGATGGCTAAAAGGACACTCGAGCCCTCTTTTAGAACAGATAATAACATTGGGTGCGGTGATGGTGGCCACTTGAACGCGCATTGGCCGTCTGGCCATGGTGCAGATGGGTCGACCTCTGCGCGTACGGTGGCTGTGGACACGTTGCTCTCTCTCGTCGTCGGTGGACGAAATCGTGCGGGAGCCCACTGAACTCGCGGCGGGCCGGACAGCTATTTAACGGTGACGACGCTCCCCGCAGACCTCTCGTCACGTGGACGATAAGCGCGAACTCGTCAAGGTCACGGTGACATCGAAGCGCAACGCCTTCAGTCAAGCGCCGCGAATGCCGGAAGTTTGCGTCAATCGGCACACGTACCCGAGTCACGGACAGCTGACCAAATACGTACGTAGTCGGATCCAATCAGCCGAGGTGAGCACGATCAAACGCTTGAGAGAGCATGGATGAGAGTCAAGGCGCCCAGATCCTGAGCGGGCGACGCGTCGAGGACTGTATGTCTGAGGCGGTTTTCGAGGTACCGCGATTCCGTTCGCCGGAAGTTCTCAGAAGGGAGTCGCTGATCTGCGCTCTTCCTGCACAACGAGCAGAGTTTCTTCATTTCCTCCCAAGGACATCTCACTCTCTTCCCGCGACCGAGTGCGCTATCGGACTCCGAGGCTTTCGCAGAGGCGGAGAGAGGAAGGTTCGAGGTGGGAGGCTTCAGCAAGAAATTTCCACAAAAAATTGAGCTCGGGAGAGCCCTCCGATCCGACCAGAGGCAACAACATCCCTCCCAGCCCTTTCAACTCACTATCTTGCTTGGTAGGTATTGGAAGTCACCCACGGGCTTACTGACGGGTGAGGGCTCCCGGAGATTGAATTCAAAATGAAAACAGAGGCTTGAAAGACTAGATATAGAAAGCGGAATGAAAATCTCGGTAGATATTGAATCGATCCCCCAATGATTCTCAGAGATGAGAAGGATCCGAGAGCGGTTTCATTGTTGTCCTTGTGGAAAGCACTAAAAGATGAGGAGACACCGGCTCTAGAGTCGCGAGTATTTATAGCGAAGCTCCGGTAGAATTTCTCGAGTTCCCCGGGGGGTGCTCCCACGACGCGGAGAAGTCCCCTCAGATGTTGTCCGCCGGGAGCCGCTCGTGGAAGTGGTCGGGGTGTTTTTCGGTCCTCAAGCCCTGACGTCAAACTCCGGCCTATCGCACCCATCATTATTATCGAAGTCAGAGCCGTCGATCACTCTTTGCCCGGCGTCCAAGGGCTCACCTCTCGTGTCGATTCATCGGAGACCCGCTAGCTTGTCGCCATGCCCCGGGATCTTTTCTGATATCTGAGGTCCGGGGCAGCACAGAGCGAGCAATCGATTCTCACCTAGCGGCCGAACGTTGAGCTTCCGCTCCACGGACAGGCTCGAGCACGAGAACTTTGCGTTCAGCGATGAACAATCAGAGCTGATCGAACGCAGGATCGCTCTTCGCTAAGTTTCTGTTCCTCGCAATGGGGAAGCCTCTCCTTCATTCCGTGTGATTTCCGTCTTTTACGAAGAGGAATAACATCACGGGTAAGAGTCATTCATGGCAGCGGCGAGTCGCCATGGGCTGAAACGTGAACTTCCGGTCGATTTCGCGAAACATCGGGGTTCATAATCGAAGACCTTCCGCGGAGGTACGAGATGTGTCAACTCCCCCGTATGCGCTTATCCTTGGCGCGTATAGAGGCTGGAGCAGCCTCTGTTCCAGCCTCCTTTGAATGGGGAGCGGATACCGTTTCCAGGGATCATCCTACTCAGAAAGTCCGATTGATATAACTCACTTGCTAAGAGATTTGTTTTGGTGCGAGTTGGAGGTCGTAACATCAACCTGGAAAGGATCCGTGTCCAAAGTAATAACGACGGCAGGTGGCGGGGGCGTTTTCGTTTTTGCCATAGCCCGCAGGTTGGCTCGATTCTCGTTCTCGTTCCCCATCGTCGGCCTTCAAAGAGGCCTGCTGTCAGCAGCGCGATTTTTCTGCGAAAGTCGTTCCCCCCATCTGCAGCGGCTGTATTTTATCCTGACGAAACAACGCTGCTCTACACCTGCAACGAAGAGGACAAAC